ATTAATTGTCATTTTGTCGTGAAAAACCTTTGAAAAAATATATATATATATTCTGTGTTTGTCAATTTAAATGTGGGGGCAAACGATTTTTTGGCAATATTGCTGAAAAAATATGAAGTGCAGATTTGAAGAATTTAAGCAGCAGGTATATAGTGTATTTTCGTTCCGATTTCATCGCGTGGTTATGTAGTTGCCTACAAATATCATTTATTCTTCACTGTATTACCATAGTTACTGAAAAGCATTCCCGAGATTGTTTTTTTTATTTCGTGTGGCTATGTATTCTCTTGAGCTCCGATCTATATATACAACTCGTGTAACTTGCCAAACTGAACAATGTAAGAATGTGTTTGATTGGACGAGACGGCAATACAGCTGCATGAAAGCATCAGAGACGAAGAGAGAGTTTGGTGTACCATATGATCTGCACGCACAGTGTTTATGTAGGTGTCTGCTTGGTTACAATTGATACAAGATATCAATGATTCCAAGACTAGATAGGTGGGAACAGCAACTAAATATGGACGCTCGTCTCGCATTTCATAAGTAACATGCAACGTGACAAAGCAAAGTGTTGTTAACTGCTTTGCAGACAATGCATTTTGGCTGAGTGTCAAAAACATCTACATCGAAGAAAAAATATACCAACAAAACCAAGAAATCCCAATATTGAAACGACAAGAGCTATGTTTGCCCGTTTTTCCATTGATCCTTAATCTATTTCACATACTCACCTTCATCAACTTTCGTTTAACAATTGACCGATGACCCCGGAAGGACGGGTAGAGCATGCGCAGAAACTAAAGTTTCTATTGAGATTTTTTGATTTTTTTTATGTACGCGGAATGTTTTGTAACAAATCCAAGATTTATTGATATTAAGCATTAGTTACTCTAAGTAGGAATGTTAATATAAGCATATTTGATTTATCATATTTCTAGCGCCATTTTGTTACATTGCAAAATAGGTACAGGAAATGATGGGTTTTGTGCAATATTCGTGAATGAAAGTTCACAGAATTTGTTTTGTTTTTTTTTCCTTGAATGATTTACATGTTGAGAATTTATCTTAATTCTGTTTCTTATCATGTAAAATTGAGGTTTACCTTACTCAAAGTAAATTTAAGACTTGATTTGTTGCTTGTTTTTAGTCTTCTGAAAGTGGAAAGTTTGATTGCGTAGATGGATATATCTCTTTTGTTGAGGGAAAGAAGAGCTACAGTAAAAGGTTGTTTAGTTTTAAAGTTGTTAAGTGTGTTTAATCTGGAAATGATGGATTCTGTTCAACAAAAACAGTTGTTATCTGAAGGACAAACACGGGTGATATTGTTTTTGAACTCGTAACACAGTAAGGTTACATGGTACAACGTCTTCCCATTTCATTTTCCTATTTTAAGCAAATTTCTTTTTTTTAAATTTTAAATTTTTCAAGTGAAAGAATACGCTGATAATTATGTCCAATGTATTATACTAGTGTTTCTAGATTATGCAGGGGTGTCATTCAAACACCGCGGTGAGAAAATTCCACCAGGAATTATAGAAGAGAAAGTTCATATATGTATATAGTATCAAAAAGATTTTAGAATTTCATTTGATTAAATAATGCAAATATGTTGGAGTTCCCATGAGTACTTATTGTCCCCTAATGTTCGCAGAATTATTATTTGTATTCATATAAAGCAGAATTTTGCAAAATATTTCCACGTGAGAAGAAGAAAGCATTTAATGTCGCTTCAACTCGACATTAAGATATATTGCCGAGGTAATATAAATTAACAATTTATACTTCCATCGTAGTGCGGTTTTCAGTTAACCTTTGACTTTTCAGTAGTTCGTGACCTTCTCAACACTATGTAATTAACGTCTCTCAAATGGCAAATAGATTCCCATTGGTTAAGAAATTAATAACATTAGGAACTTTAAATTGTTGTTGACAACGATGAGACGACTTAAGCAAAAAGTATTAAAACACCTCTTTGCTCTTTAAAGTTTTAACAAACGAAAAAAGTTGTTTGTACCTCGTACAAGCTGGTGTCCCCCGCTTAGGGAAAAAGTAAACGATGCGCAGTTCGTGGAGGGGGGGGGGGGTGTCAGATCCCCCTGACATTTGTAGAATTATTATATGTATACAAATAAAATACATGTATGTCTATATGCATATAAAGATTTGATTGCTACATTACGTAAATTTTTTTATATGGAATATTTATCACACTGTAATAATGATTTTATAACTTTTTTTCATTTCACATGCTGAACTATCATTTAGTAAAAAAAAAAAAGTATTTAAAAAAAAAAAAAAGCAGTGACCGAGATTCGATCCCGGGACCTCTCACATTTGAAGCGAGTGACATGACCACTGGACCACGGAATCGCTTTACAAGATGAGAAGTATATGCAGAACTGAAGTCACATATATGTATATATTCATGTTTTCATGTTCGGTATTCTCAAAATTTTACACAATCCATGGTGTTTGATTTATTTAGCCTGCATTAAACAGTTCTAATAGATGTAATAAGAACATAAAGTCCGCCGAGAACCTGTTTTATACGCAATAACTCTCCTCATGCCCCTGCGCTAAAAATAGCGACATGTAATACTATAAATCTAATAAAACAACGGGGCGGGGCACTTTGAGAGGGGCGAGAGACGTCCTAGGGATTTTGGTATAAAATTATATTCAAAATCTTCTTGAAATATCGCCCGGAAATGATTATTACACACAGACAGAATGTATAAAAACCTTGAACTTTAACCTTTTGACCTCAAAATCAATAGGGGTCTTTCTTAACAGGGAGTTGTTATATAAAATTTCATTGCAATAGCTCAAATGGTTCTAGAGATATCGTGTGGAAACTGTTTTAACATACAGATTTGTTTTATACAAAAGCTTTATCGTGTGGAAACGAAAGCGTTACAGACAGACAGAAAGACGGACGGACGGACGGACGGACGGACGGACAGACGGACGGACGGACAAACCCAAATTAATATCCCCCACTTTTCAAGCGGGAGACAAAAACTTGGATATTTTAAAAAAATCAAATTTCTTTTAATTTAGCCTTAGTTACCAATGTTTATATGCATGATTTGAAATAAGAAGTTATTTACAGTGTTTTCTTTGAAAGGGAAACACTGCATTATGAAACAATGGATGTTGGATTCCAAATAATTGTAAATTTATGCAATTTTCTTTAAAAGCCTGGATACCTATGATTTTTATTCCTAAAATGTATTTCTTGATCAATTATCAATTAAAAAATATGCAGTAGGTAGTTCAAATCGCATTTCCTGAAAAATTATTCGAGATACATATATAATATAAGGTGAATTTTAAAGAAACACCTTGGTTAAATACATTTTAATTTGAGAATTTAGATACATCTTTGTGAGCATTTTTAATTACTCAATGCCTAATTTTCAGAACCTGAGGATCGGATAACCTTAAGCACCACATCTGTGCCGTACGAAATTGTATCGTTGGATCATTGATATACCTATTTCAACAGTGAATGAAAGACTACATGTAAATTTCAGACGCTTTTTATGTAACGTCGAGAATACCAAGTCTTACTGAAAATCCAAGGATAACAGAGAATTGTACTATATGGATTCGATATATTCAAGACATGCGCGTTCCCAGAGAAATTGAAACAAAAGACGCCACAGTCTACATTTGTTTTATATTTGGATATCTAACTTTAAAAAATACGTAACCTAATAATAAAACCTAATGATAAAACTGATGATTTGAACTTTTCTAACCTCTTCTTCCCTTACTTATAAGTTAGAATACATATATTATAAGGCATTTACATAACCTTATTACTTGCACGTGGGGGTTAAAGTTTAAAGTGTCTCAAAGTTGATTCGGTACGCAAGAAGATGCTATACGATCAGGCTCTTTATATTACATTTCTCTTGTTAGTTTGGACTTTCAATAAGGCGTGGCATTCTCGGCGCTACGTAATGGCGAATAGTAGTACAGTAGATTCTCATCGGTTAAGGAATTGACAACGATGAGACGATTTACGTCCCACCTCTGTGCCGTGAGAGAGCTTTTAATTCAAATTTGCTATTAACTACACTAGTTGACATTCGGCCAAATATCTATCCTATGTATATTTTTTAACAATGAAGGAAAGCTGTGTAAATTTCAGAAGCTTATTATGCCACGCCTTACTGAAAGTCTAAACTAAATTGGACATGGTCCTAAGTCATTATTTCTTAAGTTCTATGGTCGAAACAATGATCTTATCAGCAAATTATTTACACACTGAAATTTCTACATATTTTTTTCTATTTACCCGTGTATGACCTGTCAACAGGGGATGCTCACTTCTCCATGGCTCCTGATCCCATCTCTGAAGTTTTTGTAGCCCATATTTGCTCTGCTCACGATTTGTTTTGTTTAAATGGACTTTGAGTTCGACTATTTATTGCTATTTCCTTATTTCATATAGGCCTTCAATATCCAAATTTCATGAAAGTCTTGAAAATAATACGTGTACTAAATTTGTGCATTCTGAAAGTGTTTCGTTTAGTCTAAAAGCCCTGAAAATCCGTTCAGGAATGAGGGAATGAGAAAGATATGAAATTTCAAAGTTGGCTTCTATGGGAATAATACTTGTACTAAAATCTATGTATTCTGAAAGTGTTTCGTAAAGTCTAAAATCTCTGAAAATCCGTTCAGGAATGAGAAAGATATCAAGTTTCAAAGTTGGCCTATAGGGGATTAACAAGAATAATCTTAAACATCAGAATCAGTAGGTCTTCCGTTGGAATGGAAGTTCCTCATATTCCTGTTGATCCTTCCTTTGGATGTAGAAATATATTTTTGAAAAGGTATTTTACGAGAGTGAAAAGATGAAAACAGGACCATGTTCAAAAAGGCTGAATTTTTTTTTTAGATTGTACAATATTGTACAATAAATCTAATTGTCGTCCAGTATGTGTTCCGAATGTTATTATTGAGCACGAAATGAATAAGTATAAGAGTAGTTTTGCAACATTTTATGTAAGAAAAATATATATAACAACTCTCTCACGAATGGGTAAGTCCACCCTCTTTTAATGCAATAAATTAATACACAGAATCTTAATTTTACTTTTTCTACACATCTTAAATAAAAGAGCAAAGGATTTACATTTTCTTTATATATGACTAAGAAGCAAAGGTATCTCATGCACAATTACATTAGACATCTCAAGTGTTTCACATTATTAATATTTCAAATATATTTGTTTTATGCATGTCAAATAAGACAATGTACAAGGATAGATTCAAAACTTTCTTTGAAAGTTTGCATTCAATAGTTCATAAATAGTCATGTTCAACGTCTACATTCTAATAAAACATCACTTGTTTTCTTCAAACACTTTTTTAAGCTTTCCAGACTCGTGCATCAAAATCAATTCCTTTTCGCCTCCTATGTATTTTGTACCAATAAACAGCTGCGGTACCTATCGACAAAATATTGCATAGATATATTTCAATTTCAAAATCAATTCAATATTAGAGAAATGTAATTTGATGTAAATCAAAAAGAGATGCACTCTTAATTTTCTTGTTCGATATTGAATATTCCTACATTATGTCTAAAATACCAATAATACATAAGCGTAAAAGTATGATATGAGTAAAATATCATATTTTGACTCGACTATGTTTTCTTAGTTGAATAGTATACACCTATATACATGCACTATTGAAAAGTTTTTGTACGTAAAAAAAATCGACATTTAAGAATATCATGAAAAACCTGAAAAATTAAAATTATATGGATGATACATACCGATCTGGCGTCCGTCTGACACAGAATCTGTAGATAATTTTCTAACTGTGTACAGTCCTGTCTACTTTCAATGTCTACATACAACAGGTTCTTTAGATTGTATTCGGCCAGAATTTTCTTTATCAGCTTACACTCAGGAGAGAATGACTTTGAAAACACAACAACATTCCCTTGTGCAAGCTTTTTGTCGACAAATATTTTGGCTCCAGCCATTTCAATATTCAGTTTTTTTCACAAAAGTCCTGAAAGCTTCCCTAACAACAATAATAATGGCGTAGCGGGAACTAGATAAGTCGTTCATATTAAGTTCGGGCATATAAACTTTTTTAAAAGTCGCATTGAAAAGTTTAATTTAAAAAAATCGTTTAACAATTAAATTCATCCCCCGAAAAGATTCATTTATTTTAGACTCAATTGCAGACTTCACTATATTCATTAGACACCAGGAAATATTTATCACCAAAGTTGGACAGTCAAGTACTTTCTGGGAATATATTTTTTGTGGGAAAAACTTTTTCCTTAACATCAATGTTTATGGAACTTAACAATTTATCTATACATTATTGTCAAACATGATAGTAATTTATAACCCTGAAAGAAATTTTCGAATCACATGTTCCTTTTATTTTTCTGCAACAATTTAGACTAGTCTTGCGTGAGTGAGAAACTGTTTTAGGGCTGTCTCCTTTCAAACTTCCAAATCATCTGGTATTCAGACAATATTATAATTATTATTTGAGATATTTTAGAAATGGTCAGTTGTCAGTTGCTATTATTTTTATAGGAACAATTACCAGAATTCGTTGAAAAGTAAAAAATAAATACGACAAATCATGTTAGAGCAAATAAAAGAATAAACTTGGAAACTTGAGCAAAAAAGAAAAAAAAGGAGGGAAAAAACAAATGAAAAAAATAATATTTGTAGGGAAATACTAAATCAATAATTATTAAATATTTTGAAATAATTTTTAGAACTTTTATATCAGATTTTTTTAGGGGGGAGTTTATCTAGCGCGAAGCTAGTTACTATGGACGCTTGATTATGACGTCATTGATATGTTTCGGATCCTAGCAGTACTGGGGTGCGTTCAACAGCGTAGCTGCTAACCTAGCAGCTAAGTAGTAGATATCTATCTCTATTGAAGGGACAGCTAACCTAGCTGCTAAATGTTAGATTTTGAATAAAGATAAATCAGTAAAAACTTTTTACTGGATCAAATAAAGTTTATTTCAGGCGAAAATATATATTTAAATTTACATTTTATTCACTGAAATATAGGAAATAACCCTCCTTTTTGTAAAAATCTTGAATGCTGCAAATTTGTAACCAAGGAAACCATCTTGGATTTGGGACGTAGCATTAAATATTTATGCTAGCTCTCCATACGTAGCAGCTAGGTTAGCTCGCCGTTCAAGAGCGTAGCTTTACGTAGTGGCTATGTAGCAGCTACGCTGTTGAACGCACCCCTGATGCTATGTTTACATGTAGCTTTTGTGACTGTTGTTCTCATCCGGCATCAGGCATTTGAAGTTTGGTAAGTGTCATTTTTTTCTCCCACATTATGTCTTTAATATATGTACAGCAACAATGTTAATTATTTATGTTAATTAAAAAAATATTGTTCATCATATCGAGGAACTCCAATTCACAGCAGATTTGAAATCGTGGTCATACCTTGAAATCAATGAAAATAAACCCATCGCTAAAATATTGAATATTACAATTCATTTGTTTGGTTTTCTTCTTCCTTCACTGCATAGAATAATGCTGACATTCTACTCTACAAATTATCTAAAATATCTTTCATCTCTGACTAGTATTTCGGATTTCACCTCTCGGGGAAACATCGACACGCTCCTGGGTTCTTTGGCTGACGAAATAAGAGTGTGTACGGTCGGTACAGTCCGTCCTATGGACTTGTTTAATGAGAGCGTGTGTCAACAAATCCAGATCCGTGACGTCCACCCATCCTGCCACCTTAACAGAGCACTGGAATCTCCCTACAGGATACTACTGGTATTTATAGCTTAAACCCCTGTCACACCGGGGCTGCAACCTCACGGCGACTGCACGGCGTCCTCAAAAAATGCAAAACGCCGAGGTGATCGCAGTAGAGTCTCCTACAGCGCCGTGACAACGCGGCGAGATCTCCATTGAACGCCGTAGGGTCGCGTCGGGTCTCCTAGAACGCCAGAGGACGGCGATCACTTTGGGCATGCACAAAGTACGCGCCGTGTGATCGCGGTCTGATAAGAACGCAGTAGAAACGTCGTATCATCGCCGTAGCAGCGCGGTGAGATCTCAACAACGTAAAGCTTAATCAACGCCGTGAAGACGCACATGATCGCGGCACGAACGCAGAGATAGTATGCGCTTCCACGGAAACCTCACGGAGATGTCGCGGAGTCCTTGGAGATGTCACCGCGTTTCTATCGCGTTTTTACGGCGCTTTTTTTATCGTCTTGTGATTTTTTCGACTGCGATTACACGGCGACAGCACGGAGTTGTCACTGCGAACATTGCGCTCCCGTGGCGTTTCTACAGCGTCCGTTGGCGATCACAATGCGCTTTCACGGCGTTGTTAGAGAGTTGTCAGCCAACTCACATAACAAAAGCAATGGGATAATAATTCCAACGTATTTGTTGCACTAGGAGAATTTAAGTAAAACATTAAAGAGAAAATTATACCGGAACTTGTTCTGTCGGTTCACTTAAATTTTGTAGAAAACTTTTCTTCAGTGTGTTTATTTTTTTTATACATTCATAATAAAATCAAAGAAAATTTAACAACACATCTGAACCGATAAAATTGAAAAAAAGGAGTTTAATCATAAAACTATTAATAATTTAGTACTAAATTATTTAAACAGAACATTTTAATTATTAAGAATATTTCTTGGCATGATTAGAAGTCTTTTCATCGTATAACTTGAATCTTTAAACAAAAATGTTTTACATTCCTTCTGAATATATATCATTGAGTACAGAACGCATTGTGAACGTATTGTGAACGCAGCCAGCGCAGTGAGAACGCCGTGAACACGAGGTGAAAACTCCTAATGCGCCGTGAAAACTCCGCGGAAGCGCAGTCAATCGCCGAGAGATCTCCGTGGGAACGCAGTAGAACGCCGTGAGATCGCCGTAGAATCGCGTGACCCGTCGCCGTAGGGACGCCGTGACATCTTCACATTGCAAAAATTTTACAGAAATTTGTGCAATTTTCCTGCGATTTCACGGCGATTTTAAAAATTTAACAACGCCGCAATGACTCCGTGTGAACGCAGCTTGGTGTGACAGGGGCCTTACTTTGTTTCATTTGCTAGCCTAATTACAGCAAATTTAGTAAAAACTATATAAAATATGTTTTTGCATCATTGCATGTAAGTTTTACCAAGAAAAACGTAATTTTCAGAATTCATTTTTAAATGCGGCCTAAGCACTCATTACCACCCCAAAATGTTTAAATATTTAATTGTATGGATTATAGATATACATTTTTGTCCCCCGCTTGAAAAGTGGGGGATATTAATTTGGGTTTCACCTCTCCGTCCGTCCGTCTTTCTCTCTGTCTGTAACGCTTTCGTTTCCACACGATATCTCGAGAACCCTTTGAGCTTTTGCAATGAAATTTAGCATAGCAACTCCCTATGGACTAAAGAAGACCCCTATTGATTTTGAGGTCAAAAGGTCAAAGGTCAAGGTCATAAATAAGCAAATTCTGTTTGTTAAAACTCTTTCGTTTCCACACGATATCTCTAGAACCATTTGAGCTATTGCAATGAAATTTTACATAACAACTCCCTGTGGCCTAATGAAGACCCCTATTGATTTTGAGGTCAAAAGGTCAAAGTTCAAGGTCGTAAATTTATACATTCTGTCTGTGTGTAATACTATAATTTCCGGGCGATATTTCAAGAACATTTTGAGCTTATGCAATGTAATTTTATACCAAAACTCCCTAGGACGTCTCTCGCCCCTCTCAAAGTGCCCCGCCCCGTTTGTTTTATTAGTATTTATAGTATTACATGTCGCTATTTTTAGCGCAGGGGCATGAGGAGAGTTATATAAAACAGGTTCTCGGCGGACTTTATGTTCTTATTACATCTATTAGAACTGTTTAATAATGGCTAAATGAATCAAACACCATGGATTGTGTAAAATTTTGAGAATACCGAACATGAATATATACATGTATGTGACTTTAGTTCTGCATATACTTGACGCCGGCTAAAGCGATTCCGTGGTCTAGTGGTTATATCACTCGCTTCACATGCGAGAGGTCCCGGAATCGAATCTCGTAACCTGTCTTTTTTTTTTTTCTTTTTTAAATACTTTTTTTTTTTTAAATGATAGTATTCAGCATGTGAAATGAAAAATTTATGAGGTTATAATATCATCATTACAGTGTGATAAATATTCCATATAAAAAGAATCTTCTATACACATAATAAAGAAGAAGCAATCAAATCTTTATATGCATATTGACAAACATGTATTTTATTTGCTTCAATATAATGTATACATTTAATAATTCTACAAATTCAGTTACTTTTTCCCTATGATTCTCTGAATTAGCTTGTTAAAAAAGTTATTCGAGATTACGCTAGGTCTAAATACTCTAAGATGCATTAAATTCAAAAGTATTTTTCAAATATGTTGTAGATGTAAAATTTTATAATCCAGGTTTTTTTACAATACTCCCAATTTATTAGTTGTTACTTTTAAAAATATAATATAGCATGCCTGGTTTGATGTATTATAGATATCCTTTAAATGTTTATGGTCACTGATTCAAACGCATTCGGTTTCCAATTTTCTCTTTTTTTATTTAAAAAAATGCTAAAATGCAAATGGAACCGTCAAGAAAAATATGAATTTTATTTCAAACAGGGAGGAGTGACAGTTTTGGCCTTCATATCGCTGTGTTGCTACCATCTCATTTCTCACGGATTATTAATTAACGCTCTAACAATTCTGGAACTATAAACTTGTGTAATTAACTAGCAGCAAAACTCAAAGTATATTCCTTTTCTTCAGGACCAGTGAACTGGATAATTTTCAAAAAAGTTTTAATCGCAATTACATTTTTACAAAAAACAGAACAAAGTTCGAGGAAAATAGTTTTCCCCTTATAATTATAAAACTAAGGGACTTCGGAACATGTTGCTGTTTTGATATGATTTCATATACATATGAGGAATAATTGAACTACAATCTCATTTTTGGTGTGAATATCGAAAAGGAAGAGTAACTCAGAGAGGTTAACATCTGGATTTCGTCAAACAATTGAAAATTACAGGAATAATCACATGGATAGATATAAGGCAAAAATAATTTCCTTTTCATTCCGTCGAAAATTCCTCAAGAAGGAAAATATCTTTGGTAGAAGAAAACCTTCATTTCAATATATTTAGAAGAAGAAAAAAAAATTGTACTTTAATATCAATAATTGATTAAATATATATTAAAAAAACGATTTTATATTTCCTTCTTCATGTAGTACCCTTAATAATTCTCCTAATTGAATTTCAATTAGGAGAAACGATTTCTTTTGTTTGGAATTGGAATCAATTCCAAATACATCCGCGGTGTAATTAGAAGTTGCATTCTTCTAATTACCAATGAAATCCCTAAAAGCTCCGTTTGCTAGTATAATTCATTACACATGGAATATCTTCATTTTCCTTGGGCAATGACAAACTTTGCATGCATTATGCCTTCAGCGCTGCTCTTGCACCATGTTTCAAACCCTAACTGGAATATTTCCATCTACGTACTTGATAAAATGTTAGACAGCAATTGTCAAAGACACCCTATCACTACAATCCACATGATCATGCATATGAGTTAATAACAACATTAGTCAAAGGTACCCAACCAATACCTTCGCCAGTAATACTCAAAGATATACAACCACTACCATCCATATGAGTTAATAACAGCAGTGGACTATAATACATCAAGACAAGGACACAATGATCAAAACAATCACCTTGATTTTAATACAGCAATAGTCAAGACTACTGTCAACCACACGAGATAAATGCAGAAAAAGTGCAAAATTATATTTCCATAAACTTCCATTTGAGTTGATTACAGCCATTGCAAAAGACACCGAGACCCCAGCCATCCACACAAGATAATTATAGCAATAGTCAAAGACACCAAGACCCCAACCATCCACACGAGATAATTATAGCAATAGTCAAAGACACCAAGACCCCAACCATCCACACGAGATAATTACAGCAATAGTCAAAGACACCAAAACCCCAACCATCCACAAGAGATAATTACAGCAATAGTCAAAGACACCAAGACCCCAACCATCCACACGAGATAATTAGAGCAATAGTCAAAGACACCAAAACCCCAACCATCCACACGAGATAATTACAGCAATAGTCAAAGACACCAAGACCCCAACCATCCACACGAGATAATTACAACAATAGTCAAAGACACCAAGACCCATACCATCCATATGAGATAATTATAGCAATAGTCAAATACACCCAGACCCCTATCATCCACATATGGTAATTACAACAATCAAATACACCAAGATCCCAACCACTCACACGAGATAATTACAGCAATAGTCAAAGACACTGAGACCCCAACCATCCATATGAGATGGTAACAGCAATTGCCAAATAACCAAGACCCCAACAATCCACACGAGATAATAGCAATAGTCAAATACACCAAGACCCCAACCATCCATATAGGATAATTATAGCAAAAGTCAAAGACACCAAGACCCCAACCATCCAGACGAGAAAATTACAGCAATAGTCAAAGACACCAAGACTCCAACCATCTACATAGGATAATTACAGCAATAGTCAAAGACACCAAGACTCCAACAATCCACACGAGATAATTACAGCAATAGTCAAAGACACCAAGACCCCAACCATCCACACGAGATAATTACAGCAATAGTCAAATACACCAAGACCCCAACAATCCACACGAGATAATTACAGCAATAGTCAAATACACCAAGACCCCAACCATCCACATAGGATAATTACAGCAATAGTCAAAGAAACCCAGGCCCCTATCATCCACAGGAGATAATTACAGTAATATTTAAAGACACCAAGACCTTAACCATCCATATGAGATGGTAACAGCAATAGTCAAATACACCCATACCCCAATCATCTACACGAGATAATTACAGCAATAGTCAAAGACACCAAGACCCCTACCATCCACACAAGATAATTGATAATTACAGCAATAGTCAAAGACACCAAGACCCCTACCATCTACACGAGATAATTACAGCAATAGTCAAAGGCCATCCAGACAAGTTAATTACAGCAATAGTCAAATACACCAAGGCCCCGACCATCCACACGAGATAATTACAACAATAGTCAAAGACACCAAGGCCCCGACCATCTACACGAGATAATTACTGAAATAGTCAAAGACACCAAGACCCAAACCATCCATATGAGATGATAAAAGCAATGGTCAAAGACACCCAGACCAATAACATCATCCACACGAGATAATTACAGCAATAGTCAAAGACACCAAGACCCCTACCATCCACACGAGATAATTACAGCAATAGACAAATAAACCCAGACCCCAACCAGCTACATGAGATAATTACAGCAATAGTCAAATACACCAAGACCCCAACCATCCACATGAGTTAATTACAACAACAGTCAAAGGCCATCCACAGGAGATAATTACAGCAATAGTCAAAGACACCAGTTTCTCTATAACCATTCTACCATTCAAATGAGGTAATTGCAATCAACAGCTATTATCAAAAACACTATGATCCTCATCATTCATTTAAGGAAGGAATAGCTATACATGTAATAAACAACAATAATCAAGGAGACTCTAACCAGTATTGTTACAGGCAGGCAAACAGACTATCAAGAAGACAGAATCAAACTTATATTTTCTAAGCCTTCCCTTTTATGTGGTAAACTGTTCATCTCTATATTCAAGATATGGCCAAAAATCTAAGTGTAAAAGTGCGGGAATTTCCGGAAAAAATAAAGGAATCTGAATTTCCTGGCAATATGCACATCTACACATTGTGTCCTAAACATCTGCAAAGTTTGACGAAATTGTATGCTGCGGTTTATCAGGAGTTGCGCTGACAAACTGTTCATCTCCATATTCAAAATACGGCCAAAAACCTAAGTGTAAAAGTGCGGAAATTCCCGGAAAAAATAAAGGAATCGGAATTCCCTGGCAATATGCACACCTACACATTGTGTCCTAAACATCTGCAAAGTTTGACGAAATTGTATGCTGCGGTTTATGAGGAGTTGTGCTGACAAAAAAAACCAGACTGAAGGACTGACACTCTGACTGACTGACGGACGGGTCAAAAACATTATACCTCACGCAGCTTGTTAATAATAATCATCAGCCTGAATTCTCTCTTTTTTATTTTAAAGTTTGCTTTTTGAAAGAACAGAAAATAATGTGAATTGTGGCAATCATAACTAAACCTTTTGAGATCCCAGTCTGCATTGTGATGTTTTAAATGGCAAAGCTTTCACACACTTTTTAAAGAAAAAACATGCAGAATTTAAATATTTCCGAAACAATTCACCTCCCATGTTCTAAAATCACTCTATAAGACGACTGTGATTGTCCATCAAAGTATACAAGTTAAATTGTGTAATAAAGTTTTTTTTTTTAACTTAAACTTCCTTCCTCAGAACTAGAAAGAAATAAAAATGAAATCAAGTGTTCTAGACATTAGATTTTATTTCATGCACCAAAAAAGGTTCATCTATGGTAGCAACAAAAAGGTGGTGTATAAAACATATATCCATAGCTACTGTAGGCACAGCTACTAAATATTCTGCTTTGTAGACACGTCTCCATGACAACTTGACGACTAATTTTGGAGAAAAAAATGTGCATTTAATGTAAATATCATATTTTACAGTCAGTTAAAGTACTTTTCTTAATCAAAATTACATATGATTTTGTGAAGTTCTTTGAATTTACACCATTAAGTTATATAAGAAATATGTCTATCTCCCCTTGAAACGAAAATGGGAGAAAATAAGAATAAACCTTGTCACAATCTGACTAATAATTGAGCTGTGGCAAGGTAATGACACAAAAACAAGTGGCTTGGTTGTCATGGAGACATGTCAACTCTTTTATAAATAACTTAATGAAATATTAACAAATATGCTACACGAAAAAATGAAGCATGTAACGTAAATATGAAATCTAACATCCAACAAAATACTTATTACTTTCATAACAAAACACAACCAAAATGATGTGAGGTACAAAATAACGGACGAAATGCACGAAAATGAAACTTGTTGGATCAGGGAGGATAACTCTTATAATTTTCTACTTTCATAATCTGACAGTGAAAAATGCAATATATATATTGAAGACAATATTGAATAAGGAGGGGAAAAACAACAGGAAATATAAATAATAATACTTTTTGTGTCTCCATTTCTTTTTTAACAGGTGAAATTGTTTTATTGCACAATTTGGGATTCTACCATCCACCTGACCCAACGAGAGTTGAGTAGTAAAAACATATAATTTATATATAATGTGTGAAAATAAACTATCCCAGGTCTTATGAAAAGCAAATTAATACTACAACAAAGATATTTTGTAGATTTAGCATGAATTTAAAAAAAGCAACATTTATATAAATCAATACAATATTAAATCTTTCTCTAGCATAATACTTCATTAATTTTTTTTCTGAGGGGAAAAAACACAAACCTATAACCAGTCAGAAAAATTAACATGCCATTAAAATCCTTTACAACTAAATTACAAAGTACTCTAAAAAAAGTGAAATCAAACAGTTGTGCCACCAAAAGAAGGTGATACCTTTGTCATTTGTAGAATAACATCAGCATACATAAGTTAAACCTACATTTTTAAATGTATAAAATATTTCATCCATCTGACAGCACTCATCACTCAATATTCAATCACTCCCAAGAAATCACAAAAGCTTGGTATTGTACAAATGCTACAAAAGCAAAGTTATAGGACTTGCCAAGAATATTCATTTGCAGTTTGAAAGAAATGTCACAGAATCTTAAATAAAACCCCATTCTGTTGGATGTTGATGTGATATGACTGAGTATTTGACTTGTACAGGTACACATTTCTGTCAATGGGACTAAATGCCTCTTGAAATAGAATGAGTCTTTATTTCATCTTAACTCTGCAATAAATGCCATCAGTTCACAATAATCCCCTAATAATAATTATTTCATTAACATTTATGATATGGATTGAAGATTGTCACCAAAATTGTGGTAAAAAAATCATGTTTTATTATGTTTTTCATTCTGATATGCTACAAACTCGTTTTCATGCTCCATATACTTATACAGCCTCTTCAAAAATATAAATGCATTCTGTGTTGAACACATCAGTCAGTCAACCTTAATATTATTAGAATT